GATGAGGGGAGAGTAAGGATAGATAATTAGTGTTTTATGACATGAATCTGTCTGTCTGTCTGTCTGTCTGTCTGTCTGTCTGTCTGTCCGTTCGTCCGCCCGTTTATTAGTCCACAGCCAGCGTTGAACCTGCCTGGCTGGATCGGCGCAGCCGGCCTAACAGCAAAAAATCTAAATTGTATCCGAAGTGGCTTAGAACCATCTTCTTTACAGCTGTCTCGTTTGTCTTGTGCTGCACTTACAGATGTGGGAGTTGCTGGACGTTGTTTCAACTTCCCTTTATTTTGATATTAGAAATCGCAATTACGTCTAACAATTAATCTGTGAGAATGTTCTCTTTCCTTCTCAGAGAGTTACACAATATATTTAAATGATTTCGAGCAGAGATAAGTTATCTCCGACGAAACCTAGTTTACATGGGTATACAGTTGAAGCTGACAACTATTTAATTAAACCATGAAAAACAACTTCAACTCTTATGTCCTACTTTTAAGTTAATGTTTCATGCACATGTATTTCTAAATTAGTTAAATTTGCATATTTCCTTGGGCAATTCAATTGCTATTTCGTTATAAAACAGTCTAATTTCAGCTCTTGTAACATTTCGGAGTCGTCGCATTTATATCCAACATCATTGATCCACAACTACAGTTTCCAATCGGACTCATCCTATCAGCACGCTTTTCTCCTACGTTACCTCATCCTTCATCCACATAATGTCTGGATCAGGGATACCGGAGGCAGGGCAGTGGAATCGGAGGGTCTTGTTCTGTACAACGACAAGGTTGGACTGGAGAGACTCCCTGTCGATAGTTGGTGGAACTGAGGGAAACACAAGATTAATATTATAATTATTGTACACGTGAAGATTGCACGAAAAAACAAACAAATCAAAACGGCCCCCTGCCTAAAAAAAATAAAAAATAGCAGACATACTTTTTAACGCCATTATGATCTATATCCTATTGGGACTTCGTGATAATGCAGTATAAATAATATTATACACATGTATAGCATTTCAATGGAAGAAAAATGCAGGATCAAAGTTCAAATTATCAGTAAAATCACAATTTATTCTTTGAAATAATATGATGTTTCGATGTTTCCAAAAGCCTGTTATTATGATATCATAAATCGTAGATTCTGACAACAGCAACAACAACAACAACAACACCAACAACAACATTATCAACAACAACAACAACAGCAACTGACCGTAGACATCCAGGATAAAGTTCCTCTCCCGCTGCCCAGCCTCGTTAGTGGCACAAGCACCACTACTACCTCCACCACCACCAACCACATCAACAACGACAGCAACATTAACAAAAACAACAACAACAACAACAACAACAACTACAACAACAACATCATCATCAACAACTGACTGTAGACATCCAGTTTAAAATTCCTCTCCCGCTGCCCAGCCTCGTTAGCGGCACAAACACCACTACTATCTCCACCACCACCAACACCACCATCAACAACAAC